TATCATCCCAAACATATGCTAATACTGGTAGTCACCACTGTACTAGAACTACCAGTACCGGTACAGTACTGCGCTTGTTGTTGACTGCGAATACTATTCACATGATTATTGTTTATTTGCATATTAAACTTTAAAGAAATGAAATACCTTTCCCACATGAAGTGGTGATCAGTCCCAATAACTCGTCAAACATATCTCCAGACAAATTATCTCTAATTATATATGTTACTCTGTTGTTAATTTCTGAGTGGTTTTTAGTATTAGGTAATCTACTTGTGTTTAGGTTTTGATCAAAATGCTTCTTCATTAAATTAAAGTTTGTAATTCGCTAGAATATTGTAGTCCCTTGACATTTCATTTTATTATTTACTCATCAAAACTCATTGAATATTAATTTTACTTAAAACAATAAATCAATCAATTTATCCACGGTGATTTTTTATTTTATTTCAGAACTTGAACTTTTTATCTTATAATACACTTATATATATATATATATATAAGTCATTCAAAGTACTTTTACAATAGAAAAAATAGGATTCTAAAAAATATTTATCATTTTATTCACATAACATTGAAAATTATATAAAATCTATTTAAATTGTCGAAGACTCAAAGCGTTGAAAATGTACACTGCTTAAATGAATTCGTTGAAATTAATAAATAAATTCACGTTAATTTGTGGACTTTGAAATTTTTGGTAAGTACTAAAACAAGCGATTAAAATATATTTGTTGCCACTGATATAGTTAATAAAATGATTAATTATACTAATTGGAAGGTCATATGTCAAATATATATTTAAAATATTAGTTTTGTTTACAAAATAGTTACACATGAAATATGTGTGTTTTTTTTTTTTGATAAATGCATATTTTTATGCCTTTAGTGTTGTATACTGAAGTATTAAAACATTTGCATGTCTGTAAAATATGACAGTTTAACCAATTCTCGAATAAAATGAGTTTGGCTGGAAAATAAATATTTCAAACTCTTTCGACAAAAGCAATATAAATTAAATGAAATTAACGTCACTTTTACTCAATCTTCAAAAACTGATGACGAAAAATGATCATTTAATTAAGATTAGAGTTTTCAATTTTAACCACGTATATGCGCATAATGAATAAGTCTGTAACTCATTTTTTATACTTAATATGTTTATCAATTTTCTTTATTAATTCCGATTCAAGCAAATTTTCGTTATTATTATGAAAGTCATTACATGAAGCCTAAAACCAAATACGTCGTAACCTTAAAATCGAATTTACTGAGTTACTGCAAAATTCGTTGCTCATATCGATATAAAATAATTTTTTCTTTACCTTACATAGAGTTTCCCAGTGTAAAATGTTTGCCATTGCTAATACAATGGAATGAGCGAACATTATTTTCGTATTAACATTCGATTATACTGTAGAGGGACAACGAGCTACTTCGATTGGAAAGCATCGAGTAAATATTGATTGAATCTGTAACTGTAAACGTTTTTTCAATATATCATACACAAGCTTTATTAAGGCCATACGAATTTAGTTTTATTAATATATTTCTTGGTACATTTTCAGATTAAGTATTTGTAGATGTAAATGTACTATAGAAATGAATACATAAATGAAAAACAGCGTCCATTCGGAAATAATTGATCACGCGCCAATTAAATGATTGAAAAAATCATTTCTAAGTAACGGCTCGTTAACGTGTAGGCGTTAAAAACACTATGTGTGTCGCGAATGAATCGAAAAGAAAATAATGGTCATCATTGGAAGTGTGCTAAATTACTCATAATTTCTAAGCAATTAGCTCACAATAAACGAGCAACGTAAAGTGGGTAATTGAGCAATTGTTTTGCGCGTAATAATTATTACGACTTTATTATAAATGATGATGTTGATTTTTACAAACGTTATTTTACTACTCGATTTATCGATAACGGAAGCAATGTCGAACTGGTATTGGCTGTAGCCGACGGGACTTTGGTTCATCGCTGTTACCTCCGTTCACTGCCTCAAACATGTAAAATCAACAATCTTAAAAATAATAATAATATTATGATACTTGTGGAATGACGTATCAAGCCTACTTTTAATTCAGCTGGTTTATCAAATTACAATAAAAAGGTTATGCGTTTTTAATAATCATATTTCGTTGTAGGATGACTTATAAATGGTAATAAATAAACGTAATTATAAACGGGTAAAACCTGATGGGCACATGTGGTAATATATAAAAAATAATATTTAGACGCATAAAATTTTAGACATTTCAATGAGTATATCTGTTTGTACCCTGCAGTATTGAACGAATGCATTTTAAGGTCGTTTAAAGATATAAATGAGTAAACAAATGTAAAATATAGACCTCTAATTGGTTAATCACATAAATGTTTGTCTCTAGTGTGTTAATTTCGTTTACTTCATATGAAGTCATAGTAAATTTTACATTTAAATATATATATATTTACTACAGAGATAATTACATTATGAAAATTATGCTTTGAACGTAGTTTAAGAAGACGATATTTATTTAAAAAAAATTTCAATGAAATCATAATTGGATCATAAGTTATTGATTTTGTTATACCCTTGTGACTCACTCGGCATACTTTCAACTAAAAACAAAGGTAATAAGCGTATGTTCTGTTTATACGTGTCGATTTTGAGTGAAGAAACCAATTACTACGATTTATTACTCTTTAGTTTTATAAATGGATGTAGTGTCCACAGTATGTGTTATTTATTACACAATGCTGAAGTTGAGAACAATTAAGCATTACTTCAAATGTATCCTCCAAGTTGAATAGAACCATTCTCACTATGGTGAAAATATATATAATCTGAAAGTAGTTTGATCACATGTAACAAAAAAGTAAATTCAAGTTTTAATGGATTATATAGCTTTGCATACACAAACTGCGATTGGTAAAATGTAAGGTGTATACAATTCAGTGATATTATAAATTAAGCATAGATAAATTAAAGGCGATCAATAATTTTTAGAAATGAAACATTTTTACATTTATTTATTTATTTTTTTTTTAATAAATGAATATAACAAAAAAACACCTGCGCGTTAATTAATCTAATTAGATGTCATTTTATTTATTATAATTATATGAAACAATTATCGAATTTAGTTAAAATATTTGAAGTTAAAATTACAAAAAACTTTTTAAAATAAAAATTAAAGATTTGGTAACACAACACATAACGAATATATTTTTCTAATAAATAATATTGTATCCTTGACCATCAAAATTAAGTATTTAAAAATTACAGTTTCTTATCTTTGCGTGGTTATTTATTATCTAACATTTATAGTAATCATATATTGAATATTTGGACTTTATACTTCTTTTGAGTTCATTTACATTAAATGTGAATTGTTTTCCTACTCGAGGTACGTATGCGATTTAAAAATTTAGTAATTTAACTAATACTGTTTTTCAAGGAATATTTCATAACTATTTTGTAAATTATTATGAGAATTATACCTTATAAATTTATCAAATAATTGTATAATGTATGACGTAAGTTTGTGTAGCTGTCGTGCAAATCATGTAGAATACAAATTAATTTGGGAATTCGTTATTTTTCAATTCATCAGCTCATTTATTGGTTATAAAAAAACAAAATTAGAAGTAAAAAAAACTCTTGCGTGAAGTTTAGTATAAAGTGGAGTACATAAACAAAATATATTAAAAAAATAATTCAATAAGTTTTATTAATTTAATTTATTTTATGTTAGTTTTTTTACATTTATATACTTACATTTTACAATTTTTTGAGCATCTAGTTTATAATTATCATTTTAAACAAAGATATTTTTTATTTGTTTTTATTTAATGGAATTTTTATTTTAATTTAAGTAAAATTATAATGAGATCTTTTTGTAATTTTGCATCTAGTAAAATTCTAGTACATCTATAAATGTAAAAATTTTGTTGGATCAAGTCAGTTGAATTATTTATAATATATAGATATCAAAAATTAATTAAACCGAACAATTATAATTAATTTAGGCTTTAATAAAATTGTAAATACTTAATGGAGATATTTTAAAATAAAACTATAGAATTCATTGTAAATTTGTTTTTTTTTTAAGCGAAAACTGAGTATAATAATGAATATTTATAATTTAAGGTGTGAACATTGATATTGAAAATATATATTTGTTTTAATTCTAATTTTTGTGCCAAAGATAATTAGATAAAAGTTTATAAATTTCCAAAAACTTCTAAATAAATAAATCTCCTCTATAAGTATGCTCATTAAAATTATCTACAGTTAAAGATAATGCATTAAGTAAAATTTTGTGTATTCAATTATTTACTCAGCATTTGCTATCTACATATCTACACTAGAAATTTCAAAACAAGTGGCACTTATTTTCATCACACATTTGAAAATTTTAGCGAAAAAAAGACTGAATTTTTTTCAACTAACTGTGTAAATTATTCATTATCTCTACTAATTAAAGTTACATTTGTTAAGATTATCATGTTTGATATTAATGTACCAACACAATAGTGTTATTATGGTTATATAGCATATTGTCATATCAAAAAATTATTGCATTTATACTTCACTTTCAGTAATAAAAAGATAGTAGACAGAAACTGAATGTTTTTCCTTTAATAGTTTAAAAAATTATATTGTATAACAAAAGTGTAAATTATATATCTATTACGATAAAAGTGCACCATTGAGTTTATTATTGTCTTTAATATTATTAGTAAGTTAGCGCCATAGCATGCCTGAGGAAAATAAAGTAAAATTACTATAGTTTGTCTGTTATCATTCGAAATAAATAGCTATTATTTACTACATTGAAAACAATGTAAAGTATTCAAGTGGGAATCTAATTTAACGATATTCGCATAGTATACTAGGATCATTGCTATCGCTGTTTCCAATGGAAGGGCAACCAACGGAGGGGAAAGAGGTAAATTATGTAAACAAATTACGCGTATCGTTACGATTTAAAATAAACTGCTAAACCTATGTCGCCATCAGTTAGTCCTTCGTCGCCATTCAGTTGCAGTAAACTTTTTAGCAACATTAACTATCAAATATTATTTTACACACACGTTTTTTCCAATAAAATTTGTAATTATATTTCGAATGAACCCATTCGTTCACATTTCACCCGAGTTCTTTGAAGAAACAACCAGCTTTCATTCAAAATGCCTGATTTCGACTTGGGGGAATCGCAGTAAGTTATACTACGTTTCCAAAATCTTTTAGTCGGTTTTTGTATTTTAATGAAAATCATAAATCTTTTATTGAATATAATAGTAATTTTATTTTGTAATTTACAGATACATGCCCTCGTCCGGGGGTAGCATGCGCCAGTACCAATGCAATTTCGTTCACATGCAATCGTCTACGAAGGAGACCAAAAAATTGAGCGCTGTTTCATTATTGCCCACAAAGGTTTGTATGCATAAAAAACATAATCAAATTTGCTATAAAAACAAGTCTTTATAGCAATTTAGTATAACCCCGTTTCTTAAACCTACCTCAACCTTCACTGAGTTGCGCGATCTCTAAAAGTATTTACTTTCTATAATAAACTCATAAATAAATTAATGTATATGATTTAATCACGTGGTTTAAAAAGTTTATGACTGTGTAGAAAGTTTAGTTATAAAAAATCTCGCCAAGCCTGTTTGAACTCATACTTTGAGTTAAAAACAAATGTATGTATTTTGTACTATTCAATACAAACAAAAACTCTACTAATGATCAGTTATCGATTCTCGATATTTTATACATTTAGCGGTACAAACTTCAAGAACTATTTATTAAAACAGTCTCGACATGTTTTTATTAATTTTAGTTGAAAGAATTTGTTGAGGAAAGTATGCAAATTTGTCGTCCATCAAATGTACATGTTTGTGATGGTTCTGAAGTTGAAAATGCGTTGCTTATTGACAAGTTACTTAAAGCTGGTACAGTCGTACCTCTACCAAAGTATAAAAACTGGTGAGTTAATGTTGATCGATGAAAATATTTAAAAAAATACTGTATCAATGCCACTTGCGCATTCTTAATTGCTACTACATTAAGATTAATGGACTGATACGATTACAATAAATAGGTAGCATTTTATGGGGAACAATTAATTTTACTCACGGCATATTTGTTTTAACTACGTTGCAATGCACTTGGTTTGTTACTATCCATTAACATAATTCTGACATGGGTATTTTCTGTTTAAAAGCTTCTCTTGGCATATTTACGTTATACGCTTATGTTATAATATGCATATGTCATTTAAAGATATAGTTTGAAACAAAGCTTAGAATAACACGATAAACTTATGAAATATTTATTAATATATGACATTGTACACAAAATGTTGGGAAATAAATGAAACGTTCCTTTAGACAGTAAACATTTTCAGAAAAATATGTACATTTTAACACGAGAATTCCGATATATAGTGTTATCGTATTGTAATTATATGTATACATTAAAAAAAGTAATTATTATATTTTAGAATATTCAAGTCTTATATTTTATTTATTCTGTCATGTTTTGAAAGTAGTTTTATTATAATCTTTTCAATGTATAAGGAAGATAATGAATTACAGAACATTACAAGTTATTGCAATACATATCGTTTTGAAATGTATTTAAATTATGATGTTGTACTATGTCACAGGCTTTGTTGAACAATATATTCAAACTATTTGTGTACATATTCGAGTTTATACAACGTCATGCTTTGTATACTAACAACGTTCAAGTTGGCTCATGTTGGCTCGTTATGTTTATGGATGATGACTCGGTTATTGTTTCAATCAAACTAAACGCAATTAAATTAAATTCATTTTAGTTTTGTTTATTTATTATAATTAATATATCAAAAATAATATTAAACAATAAATTATGCTGCACATTCAGTTTAAATTTTTTAAGTAGAAAATTTTTTTTGGATAAATGTTTTATAATTGTTCTATATGATATAGATAATATATTTACACATTGAGGTTTACAAAAAAAATATACAAATATTTTTAAAACTGGAAAAAAAAACAACGTTTTATGTATATTAAAGAAATAACTGATATTAATTGAGTTGAATTTTTTTTGTAAAAATGTCTACATTATAAACTTACAAATTATCTACCAAAATATAACTTAATTGATTGCCTTAAGATTACATAGTTTTCAATTCTAGTAGTTGATCATTATACGATGAACTTTAAAAATTGTATTTAGATATTATCTAATAAGATTTGGAATTCTGAAAACTAATTCAAGATTTAAAACAGCTTTTTAGCAAGAAGCAGCATAAAAGATGTGGCAAGAGTAGAAAGTCGTACATTTATATGTACAAAAAATCGAAGAGATGCAGTAAATATTCCTAAAGGAACAACTAAAGGAATTATGGGAAATTGGATGTCTTTAGAAGATGCGAATGAAGCAATCAAAACAAGATTTGATGGTTGTATGGAAGATCGTACCATGTATGTAATCCCTTTTAGTATGGGACCTTTGAATTCACCCTATTCTAAAATTGGTGTACAACTAACCGACTCAGCGTATGTCGTTTGCTCGATGAGGATTATGACACGTATGGGTACTGACGTTTTGGAAAAACTCAGTTCAAATGAAGAAAATTGCTATTTTGTAAAAGCTTTGCACTCGGTTGGAAAACCTATTTCTGGTCTAGTGGAACACTCTCATTGGCCATGTGATCCAGAGAGAACTCTTATTTTACATAAGTAAATATTATTTATTTTCTTATAATAAGTTTTATACTTATAATATTAAAATAATAATAAAAAATTGTTTATATTTTAGACCGGAATATGATGAAATAATAAGTTATGGAAGTGGTTATGGAGGTAATTCTTTATTAGGAAAAAAATGTTTTGCTCTCAGAATAGGTTCTACTATTGCTCGTCGTGAAGGATGGCTTGCTGAACACATGCTGGTAAAAATTAAAAATCCTTATTTTTATTTATTTGTAACCTTTTAAATCTACCTATAATTGTAAGTTATATATTTAAGTAGATTATTTATAGCGTAAATAGTATTGAAACCTAGGATTAAAAGTTTTCCAATTTTAGCTGATGTAATTTAAATTAAAGTTACAAGAAAAAAATTCGAATATATTAATTTTTAAAGTATTTATATTTTTAGTTAATTAATTAATGATGCGTTTTTTTAAAAAATAGAAAAGTAGTTAATATGCTTATACTAAAAAAAAATGTTCAAGGTTATAAATATTTTTACATTTGGCTATATTTAAAATACACTACAATTATAAAAACTAAAATCAAGATGTTCTTCACCAGTTATTTTGTTTTTCTAATCAGATTTTAGGCGTGACTGATCCTAAGGGAAGAAAACGTTATATTGTTGCAGCCTTTCCTAGTGCTTGTGGTAAAACAAACATGGCCATGATGAAACCATCTTTACCGGGATATAAAATAGAGTGTGTTGGTGATGATATTGTGTGGATGAAATTTGATACAAATGGACAACTAAGAGCTATTAATCCAGAATTTGGTTTCTTCGGTGTAGCACCAGGAACATCCCAAGCAACAAACCCAGTGGCTATGGATACCATTTTTGAAAACACCATATTTACAAATGTTGCTCAGACAAGCGATGGTGGAGTTTATTGGGAAGGTATGGAAGACCCTGCTCAAGGAGTTACAATTAATGACTGGTTAGGTAATTCATGGGTTAAAGGATCTAAGACGCCGGCTGCTCACCCTAATTCCAGGTAGATACATGCAACATAAATGATTTTATTGATAATTGTTTGGCCAATTATAATCAATACCATCAATAAATTACTTTAGATTTTGCACTCCAGCAAACCAATGTCCGATTATTGATGAAAATTGGGATTCTCCGGAGGGTGTACCTATCGATGCCATTCTTTTTGGTGGTAGAAGACCTGAAGGGGTACCTTTGGTATATGAATCATTTGATTGGAAACACGGTGTTTTTATTGGTGCTTCTATGAAATCTGAAGCTACCGCAGCTGCTGAACATACGGGAAAGATAATTATGCATGATCCATTTGCTATGCGACCATTCTTTGGTTATAATTTTGGAAATTATTTAAAACACTGGTTATCTATGGAAAATATTCCGAATGCAAAGTTACCTAAGATTTACCATGTTAACTGGTTTCGTAAAGATGAAAATGTAATCAAACTATACTAGTTATCGCTTGTTACTTGACTAACTAAAATGTATGTTTTATTATTAGGGCAAATTCATGTGGCCAGGGTATGGTGAAAACTCTCGTGTTCTCGATTGGATACTGCGAAGGATAAATGAGGAACCAAATACTGCTAATATTACCCCTATTGGATATACACCAACAAAAGAAACATTTAACACATTTGGATTGAAAGTTGATTTCGACAAACTTTTTTCGGTTCCAAAACACTTTTGGACAGAAGAAGTAAGATTAAAAATAAAAATAAATATCAACACATAATGTTAAACGAATAATTTTTTTACATCATAGGCTAAAGAAGTAGCAAATTTCTTATATGAACAATTAGATGAAGACTTACCAAAAGAAATCGAAGAGCAAATTAAAAATTTAATTGATCGCTTAAATTTTTCTAAGTAAAAATTTAATATTTTAATATGGTGTTATTTTAACAATATATACATTTTTTCCTATAATTTTTATTGTATTAGTTATGTATTAATGTTATTATTTTTTCTTTTATTTATTTAATAAAGTTTGTATTATTGAAAAATAATTTAAATGGAATTTTTTTTTCTCTATATTGAATATTTATATTACATGCTATAATATCGTAGTGTCATATTATATGTTAAAAAAAATTAAATACAAATATGTATTCTAAATTATATTTAACAATGACCAACTAAATAATATTTTGCACAATAGGTACGCAAAAGAAAACTTTATGGCATTAATGTAAAATTTGTAAACATCGTTTTATTTATATTTTCTATTAAAGTAACACAAAATTTAAACAAAATAATTGTGTTAATATATATATAAATGCACTTTAGAATAATTTTGTATTGAATAATTATCCAAGAAAAATGTCATCAAGTTTTTATTGAAAAAAAAAATGTTGAAAATTGAAAATCATTATGTAATTTTTCCAGCAGTGGCAGATTGTTCAATGTTTTATTACACAACAAAATTATACAAATAATAATACTTAAAAAAAAAAACATTATTTTATCTTATAAAGGTAAGATAGATGTATAGGTTTTATTAAAAAATATTTTAAAATACACGGATTTACGAAAAAGAAAAAGGATAGCAGTGCATGATGTATTTGGCAAACTAATATATAAAGGTATCTAGAAGAACCGGTACCCATTAAGCAGGTCGCATGGCAATCATTTCTTCAGTTTAGTTCGAGACGATCTCCGGTCACGTGGTGTTTTTGAAATACTATTATATATTTTAACTATACATTACCTTTTTTTTTTTTTTTTTTTTAGTGAAAAATTCAATGTTTAAAGTCTAAATGTTGATTTTAAGGTAAAACAATGAGTAAAAGTTTATTTTTATTTTGTTTGAGTTTATTAGCGGAGAAAACTAATAGTTGGCCTTGGCCAAGTTTATGGTCATCCGGAAATCCGTTGAAGTCTACTGGAAAAGGTATAATCAAAAATTAAATATAGTTATGAGAAATATATCCGTAATTAGTGAGAATGGTATTTTACTTCAAGTACTGAGTTGAAATTCTTATAACAAGAATTATTCATAGTTTTTTTTTTTATGAAAATTACATTATTATTTTTAGCCGTTCCTCTCACAGAAATAAAACAAATGTGTTCATTTATATTAACAAATATAAATTTAATAAACGTCAAAAGATATTTTTAAAAAGACATTGAAGCTTAGTTTAATTTTTTTACTGTTTGGGATTGAGCTATACCTAAGCTAAGATATTTTTCCGTGAGTTTGTAAAAAATAAATGATTAAACTCGAATTAACCACTTCAAATAAATGTCCGTGTATTTAAAGTAAATTAAAAATATGAAATATTATTCTGGTACACTTCGGCATTGAAACAATATGTAGATCGTGCGTGCTCATGTAATATAGGTCACTGCCGGTTGTCTGTTCCACAAAACGAGTGTTTCTGTATCTGACATACTCTGGCTGACAGTATCACCTAAACCAAAACAAACGAGCACGTACTAACGGAACACAAGTTACAAACATAGGAACGAGTACGTTCGCAAGGCCATTGCCGTCCGCTCATAACCATCGGTCAAGTTCATGAGCACTCGTGAATTTTTTCGAAATTGTTCTTGCCTACCACATAAATTTTCACTTATGATAATATACCCGTTTATATCATTGTTAAGATAATTTAGTTTTTAAAAATTAAATCAAAACGTACGAAAGTATATCAGTAAATATCGACCACAATTGATGATTTTAATAAAACGTTGACGTTTTAATGATACTTGGTTTTTACAAATTTAATTATTTTAAACATTTTAACGTGGCAATAACGAAAAAATAAATAAAATATATCGGTATTGAGATAAATAATTATACGAAAATTGTTTTCATTAATTAAGAAATTAAATAGTAAAAGATGATCATTTTATTGAAATAGTAGCATTACACAGTATTCATTATATATAAAACAATCATTATTGTATGGTTGAAAATGAAAAAAATTATACATGCGTTCAATTTGTTTGCCTTGTACGGACACAAAAACTTTCTAAAGTTAACTGTTCTTCAATTACTATAAACTATAAATGTAAAGAACAGATTAATGTTGTTAATTAGATTAAAGGTTTTTTTTATTGTGTTACGCTAACAAATATGAATCAACTGTACGAGCGCATAAAATATGTCTGTCTTAATAAAACTTCAATTGCCAATTAAAAACTTTGTGTAACCCAAATATTTTATTATTTCAATATATATTATACGATCAATAAATTTCTATTGACTCTAATTAATATTCTCCATGTGTGATTTATATAAATTAAAAACAAAATATTAAAAATGTATGAAAAAAAAAATTGTTATTTTATTTTAATTTAAATGAAAAGTAAAATTTTATAATATCAAACAAGTATTTTAACATTTTCAACTTATGCGTATTAATAAAAAAAAAACAGAACAATAATGTATTAAAAATTGATTGTGTTAAATGTTTAAGTCGTCGGATGTAATTTATTTACATGTTAGCTGCATTGTGTTATCTAATATATTAACTAAAACCAAAAAACTAAAGTGACAAATGCCAATTATTCAAGAAATTATTTTTAATTATTTTGCAATTAATTATTTAGCAAGTAGAAAAATTAATTAATTTTTCCAACAACTCCAATACAAAGTTTACCTCTAACCTAGATCCACAATATTTTTTACAAAAAAACTTTTAGTAATAAAATTTTCATGAATACCGTTGTCTTTTTTTTTGTTAATATTGTTAGAACATTTGAAAATATTTAAGCTAATTATATAAAGTGTATTTTACTGTGTTAAATCTATTTTAAAACGTTCTTTAGTTATTATTATGTTTTCGTAATTTTCTTGTCGAGTCTTCAATAAAAAAGAAATGTTTCAAAAAATTAAAGATAAATACTTGCTAATTATTGTTACGAACCCGTATTATTGTAGTGGTGTTAAGTTAGTTAATTAGTAAGTGGACAACTAATAATTTGTGTGTGCAATTTCAATAGTGTTCGAACCGTTGTTGAATAAAGTGTCACTATAATATAAATTTGTTAATGTTATAATACTATTCATTTAATAATAACTATAACTTAAATTATATTATTGTAGTTACATGAACAAGTTAAGTGTACTCTAATTAATATTACAGCTTGAAGTCTGTATGTTACCGCGTTTCATCCTAAGTAGGGCACAACAATATGAATAGGTAAAAACGAAGCTCATCAAATCACTTATTTAAATTACAATTAAGATAATATTTCAGTAAAATACGAAGTATTTCGTATTTATATAATAATATTTTAGTATTAATACAATAGATTTTTGTATCTTTTTTTTCTAGTATGTTATCGTTTTCTTCAGTTGTTTTTTCTAGAGATTAAGTTAATTAAAAAATTGTTAGAGAGTATACGTCGTATACCCTCCAAAACACTCTGTCATCTAAGTAATTTGATATTCTTGTAATAAATATGATGGTAAATGCATGTACAGTTTGGGGTACGTAATCGAACTTTGTTACCTGCACACCAACTTTCCAGTCGCAATTTCACTTAATTTGAAATAAAAAATATATAAGTATTTGAACAAAGCAAAATACACTTCCTTTCCGATTGCGATGTTACATTTATTGAATAATTTCAATGATAAACAAACATTTGGATTACTAAAAATAAAACCTAGCATTAAAAACTCAAAATAAAATGTGATTTAAATTAAATGGTATTGAATTCTACAATATTTGTTCTTGCTTTAAATAAAAAAAAACTGAGCCTGAAAAATCAATTTTCATTATGATGAAAATTTTGTTTACGTTATAATTTTAATCATAATTTAGTCGTGACCTAAATAAAAAAACAGTTATAATTTTACGTGGTAATTAATTGAAGATAATTTTTTAGCTTTAAATAGTAATTTATTTCATTTTACTCATATAATAAAATATATTTAGATTGAGATTTATCTTATAAAATTTATTGTAATTTATTAATTGAATATAATGTAATTGTAATGACATTTATTTTATTATTCGGAAAAAAAAATATTCACGAGGTCATTTTAATGGCTTATTTTAATTGTATATATTATATATATAATTAACTAAGAATTTAATTAAATAGTACCGTTTTAGTATTCATACATTTTGTTAATTCATTTTGTTTATTATCATAATATTATAAAATTAATTTTAAACACAAATAATATAAATAATATTTATACTTAATATAAGCAGCGACTGGTCGTAATTAAATTTACTATGTGTCATCCATTTAATTTATATTTTAAATTAAATTATTTAATAGATTTATATTTGAACAGGGCTTATTTTTATTAATCAAGTTAGGTGAAGAAAAATCGTACTCTTACAGAGTATCTCATTAGTTGAATTTGTATAACTAATGACAAACGCTAACTAAATAGTATAGCGTACTGTGTGTATAAAAATTAAAAATAACATACAGTATTGCAGGTTTATTTTTAAGTCGATGGATAGTTTAAAGAATTTTTTCCATTAACTATCCATCGATGAATATACCAATATATTAAATTAAACACAATTAAAGTTAAAATTAAACTTAAAATACAAAACATACCTAAAAACGTAGTTTTGAGTAAAATGTATTCGAATTTATCATAATTTTTTAATATTGACGCTTAAACTTATAGCATAAATATAAAAATTACATCTTGCGAATCGAGTTGAATGTTTTAGGCGCACTGACTGAACATTGGAAGACTGTTGTCTCGTTCAACAAGAAAAAATATAAAAAAGGAAAAAACGATTTTCATTGTTATTATTACTTGCTCATTTTAGCACAAAATTAGCGACCAGTCAAGTGTCAATTTTCATTTTATCGCGAAAATCAGTCACGCGCACTTTTTTTGATGATAATCGACAGATTGTTCTATAAAAATATGTCATACGCTTGTCCTCTACAAACACAAGTATAAAATAGTAATATGGACTATGTGCACTTGGGGCAAATATAACTCAATTAGCTCAAAATAAATTGGTTTTTATTAGATCGGACAAAATAAATAACATTTTATTTACACATATTGTGTTAATAGTCAATGTAAATCCAAGCCGACCTATAGTATCGAAATGGATTGATTTTCAATAGATTTAACGTCAAGTTATTCAGATAAATAATTTATTTTATTATGAATGTCCCTTTGAATTTGGTACAGTCGAATACTAAAATTAAATCGAATAGTTCCGGTCGCGTGGATATTGAAGTGAACCGTAATTTGAGGGGAAAAAAATAAATACATGATTTTATTTACCAATGTTTTTCTTAAGTTTAAACTCTAAGAAGATCAATTATTCGTGGTTTTTAAAGTTGCCTAATAATAATTTCTATTTCCCTGGCTTTTGCTTAATTTTTTTGAAAATCTTAAAATTTTTAACGATTGCAATTATCTTATTTTTGATCGACAGATATATTAAAGCTAATACAATGTGATTTTTTTAAATTGAGGTTTTAGTTACTGACAATAAATTGATACTTTTTTTTTTATCTTCTCTCATTTTATCGTATAGAATTTTCAATGCTAAATGATAGTGTAAACAGGTTGAAGTACATATTTGTACACTAAAGGGTACAACAATATTCAGTTTTTCTATAATACTACTAAGTATTCAATATTAAATGTTTTACTCGTATAAAAATTTAGATAAAAAAAAAATTCATTGTGAACCTTTGTAATTAAAAAAAAAACACTCAGTTTATCAGGCCGTGAAATACCTATTTCCTAGATGTTACAGTTTTTATTTTTATCGTGACTTATTTATTTAATTACAAAATGTATTTTTTAAATTATCAAACTGGTACTTGTAATATATTTTTTTTTATATTTTTGCAAAAAAAAAAAGTAAATACTACCAACATTTAGTGTATACTAGGCACGTCTACGGTCGTATAGCATTATTATCTAATTACGACGTCAAATCGTCTGTCACACGATGCGCACTTCTCCCACGTTTAAGTTTATTATTATTATTATATTTTTTTATTGACACAAACATGGATGTTAATCATGATTTGGAATTTGTTGTTAACAGTGTTGAATTTCCTTCCAGTACCAGTAACCGAAGAGTGTTTGTCAGACGACTCTAGAAGGACAGGTAATATCATTCGTGCATTGTTAATAATTTTTCGAACATATGAACATAATGGTTTTTTCAAAAGTACATTTAAATAATTTTGATTAATATGTCTGTGTTTTATAGGACTGTGTCTAAACGCGTACGAGTGCAGGATACAAAATGGAGATTCCCATGGCCCGTGCGCTTTGGGATTTGGCGTATGTTGTGTCTGTAAGTTTACTTGATATGAATATTAACTAAAGCTATAAACGATTTTATATATTATTATAAACGAAAACTAAAGCGATTCAATTGGTAGCGTTTTAATTAAAAATCGTTCTTCTTCGTACACCATTTTAATCTATAAACATTTTCTTATATACCTGTGTATTAAAATATTATATCTTAATGTATAGTCACGGCGTCTTGCAACGCAGAGGTTGCTAATAATGTCACGTATTTTGTAAACCCTAACTTTCCGGGTCTTTTAAACGATGTTGGTGAGTGTACACTTAAAGTGAAGAAAGTCTCCGATGACATTAGTCAAATCCGTTTGGACTTTGTAAATTTCAATCTAGTAAGTTAATTGAAAATATCTAACTCAATCATAATATATTTATAAACATCCCTTAAACTTTATAAGTGTATTATTTTAAACTTGTTCAGGCACAACCTAATAGGAAGACTGGTGTGTGTGAAACAGACACATTCGTGGTAAGCGGTGCTGGATCGAATGATTTGAAATTTTGTGGTCTCAACAGCGGACAACATGGCAAGTTTAAATATTTTTCATTCAATTTTTGATTTTATCGGATTTTAATATCCAAGTGAACAGGGAGATTTATTATAACCCACTCAATTACTTATAAAATAAAAATTATTTAAACATTTGTTTGGTAACCTTTATTTACACATTATTCTCAAATTATTAGCTAAGTTCATCCCTAATGCCTTAAAATAGTGTCAACTTGGTTTTATCATATTTTTGTATTTAATGAAATGTTTGAGTTTTTACTTTAATAGTAAATGAAATTAAAATTTTCAATATAATTTTATTCGTCTAATAGACATAAAACTTTTAAGTTTCAAATTTTTGAGTTAATAAATACATGTATAATATAGAAATACAGATAGATATTTGTTTTTTTATGACGTAAATATTCGCGGATACGTAGAATTTATATCAATGGTAGTAAGATACATTGTTGTGAATTTATAAATACACAAACTGGCAATACAGAAATCATTTCTAATGATAAAGTCATAATTGACAATAAACGCCCCGTTTCTGTGAACGCCATTTACTATTAAAATAAAAACTCAAATATTTCATCAAATTCAAAATATATGTTCCTAACTGAAAAAACAAAGTTGACACTCTTACAGTAGATAAGGGATGAAATTACAAATTATTACAAAGCTAATAATTCAAAAATATTATGTAAATAAAGGTATCCAATAACAAAAAAAAATTTAAATAATTTTTTATTCTACTAGTAATTTAGTGGGTTATGATCGAAAAATCAATCAGTATACAGTTATTTTGTTTATGCACTTTATAAGAAATAATCGCAATAAAAGTAAACCTAGCGTAGAACTTAAAATGGATAGGTAAAACAAGAACCATTGCATATTTGCTATCAAGAATTATTTGTTAAAAAAAGAATACGGTTACTGAAACAATAAAAACGAAAAGCGATATACATGTGTTATAAAATTGAACAAAATAAAAAATGGGAACTTGCTATTTTTTTATTTTATTTAAAAATTAGATATCAACGATGGTAAAATGCAAAGACTATGTAGATGCAGTGTAACGAGAGATGTAATAAAGATTTACATCTTAAAGGAAATCGTTTTACTCGTATCGATATAAAGAGACCTAGTCTATTTTCCTTTCAAATGTTCATACTCATAAACTCCATCTAATGTATAGAACATTTTAGTAGAGTGCTAGCGATGGGAGTTATCGATGCCTGATAACTGTTACTGGTAAGTTATCTTGCGAGGTTAGTGCATGATCCAATGTAATGGTTATTACCATTCACCCAAAAATCGTTAAATAACTTAACTGCCTCTACCCATAAATATACAAATTACACATCTGTATCTTTCTTTTTACTGAGATATCGTTATGGAGTTTATAAACAGTTTGTGAACATTTTCTGATGTATCTTCCATTCAAATATACTAGCTGGTATTGCCGTAATCCACGCAATAATCACGACACACCTTAAAATTTCTCTTCTGCTTTTCATTTCGAAAAATCTAATAAATCTTCCATGGGTTACAGTGTATTATGATGTCGACGACGTTAAAGATGCAATTACAATTAATGTTCGACTAACAAAAGCTAACTACAACCGAATGTGGGAAATTAAAGTAAATAGAAACCGCAATATATTCATTTGAATATCTGCAGTGTACTCATTATAATCGCTTGTCTTTTATTATTCAGATAACACAAATAGAATTTGCTCAAAGAGCACCTGCCGGTTGTCTTCAATATTTTCAAGGAGTATCCGGTACCATTCAAACAATGAATTACGCCATTAACGGTAGACATTTAGCCGATCAAGATTATGTCATTTGCATGAAACAAGAACAAGGTAAGATTCTTAATAAACATATTTTCTATTTGAATGCTTAATTATTTTTGACTAATTTAAGGTATGTGTTCTATTGTATATGAGCCTTGCGATGAAAATTCGTTCAAAATAGGACCACCAATTACATCAGGTAAAAAAAAATAAACACGATTTATTTAATGAAAATAAAATAATCTGTTTAATCTATACTATAATATATTTTTAGACACTGTTGAGGGGTCAGGAGATGGAGGTAGTACATCAGTTATTTCATTGGATGAATTCAGGGAATGTAGTGATAGAGTTATGATGCCCTGTGATTCGGAAGAATTTTTAACTGTGAGTATCTAACATAATTTATTAAATAATCAATTATTTTATAGTAATTGTGGAATTTAATTATTAGTCAAATGTGTAGTTCACTTAAAATTTTGTACTGATTTATAAATAAAAGATAATTAGATTGAATTTCCAACTAAATCAAAAACAGTAAAGTCTATTAAAAATATATAACAATGTTATTGAACAATGCGATGAAAGAGATATATACAAACAATTATATGACTTAAAATGCACTATATTTAAAATGTTTTTTTTTAATCATACAGACTCAAGGAGGCCCTGGAATTTGTGACTTATTACACTGCGGAAATACATTTTGTTCAGACAAAGAAACGCCATGTAGAATCGAAAGTAAGTTTATTACTATTTTAAAAATATCACGTAAAGGTGTGTATTTTTACATTATGTTATTATGATAAATCGCATAAAAATATTATTTGTAGATAGTTTTGTTGAATTATTATTATTTTTTTTTTTTGTAGTTCTGATAGTTAAAAATATAATTTAGTAAATATTAACTTATAAATCTAAATTGTGATAAAAATTAGTATTACTTGTACTAAAGGTAATCTAATAAAAATATATTTTAGTATTACATAGTTTACAAACTAATATTTATGATATAGATACTCAGTCAATACTTATTTTCAAATAAGTTGAGTTCTTTACCTGTATAAGTTCTAGAATCATTAATATTTCATCAATTGACTTAAATATTAAGTGTATTTCTTAGAAATGTTGAGACCATACATTTTTAATGTTTTCGTACATGTTTTTAGAATTCCCAAAAATATTTTTTGAATACCTTCTCAATATAAAGTTATAAATTAATAAAAAATTATTAAATCTGTGTTATTTAGGTAGTACAACACCTTTTGTGATACGAGTACAATTCGGACCAGGTAACAGAGAAGAGAATCCTGAAGATAATTTAGGAATGTGCCTAAAATATGAACAACAAACGTGTTAGATTACTAGAAATATTGTTTCAATACAATGAGTAGCTGACTGTATATAAATGAACTACAAATTAAAGTCAAATAGATCTAAAAAAACCAATGAGGTCTAAATACTTAAATATGATGAATATTTTGTTTCTAAAAGAGGTTATGAAACATTTTTATAATAATAGCATTGTTCCTTTTATTTCTAATGTTATGAGATTGTTTATTAATTTTTTTTTAAGTGAAATGAATAATAAAAACACAATTATAGTTTAAACGACAATGATGTAATAAAACTTAATATAGAAATAACATAAACAACCTTATAGTCACAACCAGGGAACATAAAATAAATTAAATATTACTGCAACGTATACACTTAATACCAAATAAAACAAATTATAATTGAATGAATTAACAAAAAAGAAAGTTTTCATCAATCTGAAAAAAAAAACAAAATTAAATTACATATTAGACATAAATAGATAATAGAATTTCTAATATGATACATCATATCTTTTTAATAATATTGATAATTTAATTCTAAACGAGTATAAAATATTAAAGAACAATATTTAAGTGTAACATTTAATACATTATATAATTTTTTTACGTAAACATATAAAGAACATCATTAAATTAATGAGAATATTTCATATTAATTTTGTTTAAGCAATATAATTGGCTAATTAATATCTTGGTGCATTCAAAAAATGATCGTAGCTAACTAGCTAATGTAATGTCTACTAGCATAGATTTATGTACAAAAAAAAAACCTTTGTATTTTTATAATGAAATTACAAATTTATAATTATGTATATGTATATATTCATACAATAAATAAAATAAAATTTTATAACAATATGTTTTTTTGATAAAATGTATGATGTCAAAATGTTATATATTATAACAAATCTATTATATATAATAGTAAATATTATGTATAATAGATAAGTTATAATTGAATATATTTATTTATATATTTTATATAAGTAAATACTTTTGAAAAAACAAAATAATTCTTGTGCATCGTAAATAGCCAATTAATTATTATTTTATTAATACCAATTAAATATTTTAGTGAGCAAATTGTTCGCTGTGGAAACGACTTTTTCAATCGTTCTTAAGTTATACAAGAAAACAAAAAGAAAATAAACAAAGATCATTATTGTTATATTATCCGCGGTGATATTATTTACTTAATTACTTTACACCGTGATAATAATGTTTATAATAATAATAATAATTATAATAATAATAATAATAATAACAGTTAGATACAGCTGTTGTTGCGGTCGGTTACGCACACGCAACTGGTCTGAAACTAACTATGGGAGCTATCTAATATCACAATATAAAAATAAAATGACTTAACAAAAACATTTTTAGTTTTGATTAAATATCATTTTAGATTTGTACCTCAAAATAAAATAGATACGTTGGTAAAAAAAAAAAAAAAAATCATGTATCTAATAATTATAATTGCAACTGATGAGTAGTAAAAATAATTGTACTGATGGTATCGTTGCCTATTAGTCTATCAGAAATATAATGAAAAAATATCAAATTTTAAAATTGGTCGTTGTATTATTATTATACTTTTATTGGTCATTTCTTTGAGGTTGACATTTTTAAACATTACTTGAGATTTTTGTACATTACTACAGCGTTGGTGATATAGTGGAATGAATTTATAATTTTACTATAGTATATAGATTATACGTAAAGTGAAATTAATTAACGCTGCTATGAAAAAAATTTCGTATATGAATACATTGATCTGCATAATAAGGAATATATAAATAAAAAGAAATATCCCAAAAAAATATTTAAAAAAAGGTTCTCAATTTTATTGAGGTTTAGAATAACAGTATTTATTAATTTCGGTATATCGACGTTTCTCTAATGATCAGAGCAAATATTTTTTGTATTTTACGTCTTTATAGCTGATTGTTTTCTAGGTACACCAGTAGACATAACAGGTTCTGCTTTCACCCCTACGCCATTTGGATTCAACGTCATCGCTACACCTACTGAAAATAAACAAAAAACACGTTAAAAAAATATACTTCGATTTAATTAATTATATTATGGAATCCTTAATATTAATAATAATGTTCAATATCAAAATAGTGCATGATAATTTTGACAATCGTGAAATAAATACAAAAATGGCTACATAAATAAACAACGCCGTAATGCAGCATTTAATAAATATTTAAGTTGTTCATAAATGGTTTCCATTGTTCACAAATGTTTACTAATTTTCTTTACTATAAACTCTTTATAAAATTAATTTAATCATCATTTATAATTAAGATCTTGATGTGATATTATTTGAGTTTGGAGTAAAAGATTTTTGTGATTAGAAAGTAAATTTTGTTAGAACACAAAATAATAGTAATAAATTATTTGAAAATTCTAATTTAGTAGAATAAAATTAAAAATATAATATATATAAGTTAATAATACATATATTCCACTGTAATATTTTATTTAATAGAAATTCACTATGAATGTTTCTATATTTCCTAAGCATTATATATATATATATATATATATAATTTAAAAAAACAAAGCAATACATAACTAACCAAAGCTAGCATGTAATTATTTAATTGTTAAATATTAAAAAATTGAAAACACTTAAGGTAATGAATAAAATGTAATGTAAAAATAAAGTTTAATTTAAGAAAACTGATGATTCTTACGATTAGATTTTAGGGCTTACTTTTTGTAGTACAAACGGCTAACGCAATAAAATTTAAGTTTTTATTTTATTTTTTCAACTATACGTTGCTTTTACTAAAATATGTATGGATTAATACAATTTTTTTTGTAAGTATTTTATTCTTGTCCCTTTAATCTGACAAATTTTTTTTGTATAGTTGTGAAGCTCATAAGGAGTAGTAGTTTTGTTATAGTGTATGTTTTTTTATGACTTTCAATAAAACTTCTCAGCTCTCATTAGGCCGATTTTAATTATCAATACGTCAAAAAAACTCCATTGTAATCTAGTTAACCTTATATTCATCAGAATTGTAAAAATAGAATCAAATTTAAATATATAAAAAATTATCTCAAAAATACGCTACCATAAAACACGGAATTAAAAACACATTTTTTTGCATTTTAAAATTAATAAAGACAGTGATCCATAAAAAAGTTTAATAAGATATACAAGCTTTCTTTTGGTGTGATTTTTATGGAAATTCAATGAAAAATGCTTGTTTTTTAACACAATTTTTGAACATGTTCTGGAAGAACTGTGTTTTTATATTAATATTTCAAAACAATTATCTGACAGTTATTTTACTATGAGCAACTGCCTGTCAAGTCAAAAATTTGCAATTTTTTTTAATAAAAATACATTAAAATATTTATAATACTCCTTTTAAAATTATACAGGTGGCCCAGCACTCACTGATAACTTAAATAACTTTTGATTCAGTTAATTTTTTTTTTTAATATTTAATATACTTATGGGTTATAATTACAATGTAATAAGTATCATTTTTATAATTAAACATAAAAATTTCAAAAAAGCCATTTTTTAAAATAAATTTTAAGAAATAATTTGGTAAAAATATTTGTCATTAATGTTTTGTAGTTAATTTTCTGTAACATTTTAAATCTTGTAAAAATTCGAATTTTTCTGTATTTATTCTACGGTATCAAACGCTGGCTATGTTTTAAAAAAAGACAGAAGTAAACACAATCTTTTCACACTAAATATGATATGTTTATGGATTTTTCCATGAAAATTGTTAACGTTCTAAAGGCCGACTTTAACTCAAGTAAAAACGCTAACAATACTTATTACTTAATAAGTAGTTTTATCTCTTACTAACTACTACTTATTAACTACTTATTCTTACTTACTACTTACTACTTATTCTAACTACTACTAATTACTACTTATCCTAACTAAAATTAAAATTTATTTATCACGAGTCAATTTATATTATACTAAGTATAAGGTCTATTATATTAAAAAAAATTGGTATTAATACGATGATAAGAAATTTGAAATTATAGTAATCATGAAAACATGTTTTCTTCTGTCCTTTTCTCAACACGTATTTCAATGTTTAATACCATAAAATAATACATGGAAATTCAAATTTTCACAAACTTTAAAATGCTACAGAATAATTACAACTGAATATTAATAAGATATTTGTATACCAACATTTTTCTTAAAATCTACTTTACAAAATAGCTATCTTGGATTTTTTTTTTATATTTTATTTAAATTTAAAAATAATTTATAATTTTAATATAATGCAAAAAAATTAATTATTAAGATATAATTATAAACCCAACGTATAACTATTATTAAAAAAAAAAGAACAGCTAAAAATATTAACTAGATAAAAAGTTATTTTAGTTGCCAGTGAGGTGCGGGTCACCCTGTATATCTCCACAAATAATAGAAGTATGGAACTCATTTTTGTATTGAATTACACATGAGAATCATACCACAGATTTACAAAACGAAATATTTTTTCATCATAAACGAAAATGTACTTTTCTAGACCCATTTTTTTCGCTAAATTCAAATCTCCATTCAAAATTTTTTTTATAATATCTAATTTTTGTGATAATAATTGATTAAAAAATAGTATACATAAAAACATTTTCACCTTATATCTTCTAAAAAAATAAGTATATATGTATAATATTTAATGTAATAAGTATATAATATATATTATGTGTTATATTAAAACTTGTAAGATCTGATTATTAAAGTCCAGACTTTCATATGACAAGGTTCGTTTTCTAAGTTTTTATTCACAGATTACCAAAAATATTTATTACAACCTAAAATACTTTCAGAGCCTGTTTATTTTTATTTAAGGGGCGTCCTAAAACTTTCCAAATCGTTAAACATATAAATTTTGTTAGAGAGACAATGAAGTAATCAGATAATAAATCTTAGAATTCAGCAGTCAACCATTTATAAAAAGAGGATAGTTTCCTTTCGCTTCTAGTGGTTTATTTAGTAACTACATTGAAACATGACAATGGTATTTTTTAAGTTACATACTCCCATATATGCATACTTTCAAAATGTTATTAAACATTCATTGTTTGTATAGAAAACATAAATAATTATTAATAATTTAAAATAATATTTCAAATACTTATAATAATTACTCATATAATATTATTTCTAATTAATTAAATTAATACAAATAATGCATAATTGTTTCTATTGTTAGGCATTATATCATTTCTTAGACTGTTTTTGAAGTTGCGGAATTATTCTATAACTTTAGGTAATCATTTTAAGGCGTTTTCTCATACGCCATCCTTTGCTGACACCTTTGATAATTTAGCAGAGATGGTCTCTGAATACCAAACCTTTTTCTGAAAGTTTACTTCTGATCAAAAACAATGGATACCGTGACGGTTCCTGATTTTGACCACTCCTTTTTGCTAGTCATCACCAGAAAAACAATACTGCGACCCCAAGTTATTTCATAAAATGTATGACTTTTTCAACAATGATGATTGGAGCTAATACTAAGAAACACTTAATGCAAATAATTCAGCAAAATGCCGGCATTGTAATTTAATCTGATTACTTTGATCATTTTTTACGGTTAACTTTATTGAGTATTATACAGTTCTCCATAAAGTAAAACATTATGTGTAAAAAATTATAATAGCTATAATATAGCTACAATAATTATATAATTACATTATCTAGTCACTAAAAGTTAAACAATTACTTCAAAGGGATTTTGAATGTAATGAAATGTTGAATTGTAATTAAAAATCCTTTCATTAAACAAATAATAATGTTTCAAAATTAAATTAAGCACCAAAAGATTAAAGTTAAAATGTTCAATTAGGATAAGTGAGAATTCAAAACAATACTGGTAACTTTACTGTTATTACTATTCACATTAAACACTCAGTATATATGTAAATGCATTAACTTTTACTTTAAGCTATTATAGAGTATAAATTATAAGTTAAATATATGTAAAACTGAACTTCATGTGCATTTGAGCGTACATTGTATTTATACGTGTATAAATTTGACACAAGTGTACTAAATTTTATATGAATATAATACAAGACCTTATACATTATTTAAATTTAAATGACTCATATAAACGTTGTTTTAATTAAATTTACTGGGATGCAAAGAATACTGAATTTTTGTAAGGTAATCATGAAAATTTGAATGCTCAAGCTATTTTCATGCGATTTGTTTACCACGAATAAAGATAAATAACTATAAAAAAAGTCAAATTGATTGAGAATATTCACATTACTTTTAAATTATCGATCAAATGTTTCTTTTAATACATAATTTTAAACGTACCATTTGATGATTTATTTTTATTTTTTTGTATTCATTTTAATTTATTGAAAAACATTATTTTATTAACAAGAAAAGATGGAATGTATTTTAAACTATTTACAATAAATATGGTAGCACAAAGATACTGTATATTTACATTTAATAACACAGGAATATATTGTGTGTGTTTATAAATCAAATACTTCTTGGTTAAGATTGAAGCTCATAATTATTATTAGTTTAATGGTAATATTTAGTTCACCTATATGCAATTAATTAAAAACTACGCGAGTATAGTAAAAGTGGATTAAAGTAAACTACAGTCGATTAATTTGGAGATATACATTATTTTGTTAATAATAAACAAACTTATCAGATTAAGGTTATTTAACTGACTAAATGTTTGTAATCAATAAATGGAAATTTACATTTTGTGAATAATCGATAGAAATGTTAAAATATATTGTATGCCTAAGTAAATAAAATATTATATTCAATAAGACTATTATTTGGAAAAAAAATTTTGTATTGAAAAATTCATCGAAAATAGTCATATGCAATGCAAAATTAAATGAGCTTGATACGTCATTATTTTTTAAGTCATGCATTAATGCAGACATTATTTTAAATTTTTAATAGACTCATTCCTCAGATTGTTATATTGTTTTTTAAATTTATATTAATTAATTAATTTTTTATTATTATAAAAACGATGAAATACAGATTTTAAAAAAATGTTTCTTAATTTTTTTTTAATTTGAAATTGTAAAAATAAGATGTTATTAAACAGGGTTCATCAACAATATTGATTACCTAATAAAATATCGCGATATATTGTATAAACAAATAATTTTACAGTTTCTGGTAATATATTTTTAACTAGATAAATTATGCATAGATCTGTATTAAGGCAATAACAATTACATTATAATCCATTGGACGTTTTCCGTACTATTATATATTATGAAATATTGAGAAATGATGAGACAAAAATATGTATTTATTGATTTAGTTAGAATATTTTTTTGTTATTATTATCTAAAATCGCAACATTGAAACATAGTGTGATTGTTGAATAACACAATAATTCAACTATTATATAAAATTAATTATATTAATATTCATAAATTAAAGGTTTAATTTTAACATTTCTCATTGACTATAAGATATAACTTGGCAATATTTTATTATTTTTTTGATGTAGAAATTATCAATGGTTAAACCCAGTAAAGCTTTTCTGATAATTTCATGATAATCAACCCACAGGATACTTACAACCATTTTTATATATTAAAAAGTAAAAGAAATTTTTAGTATGATCCTCAGTGTTGTAATCTTTTCATTTTAATACTTTTCTAAGGTTAATAATAAAAATAAAAATATATATTTTTTTGTATAAAATATCGGAAACAATTATTTATCAATATTGCGATAAAATCATTCCTAATATAAAATATACTATAGTAACAAATAATAACTATTTAAGGTGCCATAGGTTATAGTATATAGCATAGAATAATATTTAAGGTATTTTTTGTGTACAGTGGCAATATATTATGCAGTTTCTAATTTAATTGGTACCATACGATTTTTATGAAGAAATGCTAAGAACGAATATTTTAAAGTGCTTTTATAATATAATTATTTTGCATAACATTATGGTTTATTTCCTTATTTGAATATTGTTATATACCGTTTTTTTTATTTATATACATATTTTTGTTCCGTAGAGCCTTTAATTGGTTAGTATCTCGTGATGGTTTGAGTTTCTGTAAGCATTATATACAACAAGCCAATAATTAATTGCATTCATATCATCCGACTGAGAGCTTAAGTTTATTAAAATAAATTTCAGTATATAAAATTAATCTACCACTATTGAATAAATTTTAATTAGATTTATAATATAGATTAATTCATATACAAAAGTTAACAATAAAATTTTTATTTGTAGTACAATTTATAATTGAATGCTTAGCGCTCAGTTTGATGATAGTTATACAAATAAGCGTTATGATTGACAGACTAAATTTCTGATATCTTCATCTCTATGATATACAGTAGCATATGAAATAATTGAGGCGTCTTATGTAATTATGCGATTTCAGTGTGATTGTTTTTAATGTTTAAACAATTAATCACTTCAATGTAGTTGGTTTAAAGAACTATCAATAATTATTAGAACAATACTTAAAAAATTTATTGTGATTTTTAATTAATGCAAGAGAACGGTCAACTAAAAAAGTTTTTTTTAGAAATACCAACTTACAAAAACTATATTGGAAGTAGAAAATTAAAATGTATTGTTTTGTAGTATTATTACTTCATCGAAAGAAAGCCTGCCAATCATTTTATCGTGAAAGCTTTAAAAAACAAAACAAAGCAGCATAAACCAATTTTTGACTTTATAAAATAACTTTACTTACCAACTTTTGGTCCTGCATTGTCTTTTGGATGATTGCTTTTAATAGCATTCATCCTTCGATTAACCGCTGGAACGCCAGTAGTATTGACTGGTGCTCCTGCTATGTTAGGAGGCATACCACCTGGACCACCTATACACGGACCGTGACCACCACCACCTTGTTGATTCATTTGTATTGGTGGACCTTGCCCGGGTATTCGCGGCATTCTTGGTTGTTCAACCGGCAGCACCCGACGCCTCTTTTTTGGCAATTTGGCTCGGGCCTGGGTGTGTGAGTAATACATGGCAAAGTTGGAAACAATGACGGGAACGGGCAACGCGATGGTCAATACTCCTGCTAAAGCGCATAAGGCTCCAACAAACATTCCTACATACGTTTTCGGAGCCATATCACCGTAGCCCACGGTAGTCATTGTAACCAGAGCCCACCACAGTCCTAAGGGTATACTGTTGAAGTCATTGTGTGGATTGGCTTGGATGCGTTCTGCATAGTATACCAGACTTGCGAATATCACGATACCGAGTACTAGGAAGAATACGAGTAGAGTCAGCTCCTTGGCAGAAGCTCGGAACGTTTGCATAAGAATCTTCAGCCCGGACGAGTGCCTTGTCAATTTGAACAGCCTCATGATACGTATAATAGAAAAGAATTCCAATATGTCTGCGTTCTCTAAATGTGCAGCGAATTTCTGTAGTATCAAATCGATGTAGAAGCTAACGGTAGCAATGTAATCGATGATATTTACCGAAGCTTTTACAAATTCACATTTATTGGGTGTTGCTATAAACCTGACTAATATCTCAAACGTAAACCATGCATTGCACACATACTCAATGTAGAAGAATGCCTCATGTGCATTTGTTTGCGTTTTGTCCAAAACCCAGGCAGTAGTATTTCGCGAGGTATTCACCGTTATGTTTTTAATGACTGGTACTCGCATGTTGGGATGAGTTTTTAGACAAAAAGACAAAATAGACACACATATGAAAAATACGGAAACAATGCCAATGATCTGAAATCATATTAAGTATTTATATTTAATTTATTGTATTTTTTTTACGTAAAAATTTGTAATACTTTTTTAGATTTATTTATAACTAGATTTTCTTGATTTTATTTTTATATTAAAAAAAAAATTAACAAAATTGAAATTACTAAATTTATAAACTCTACTAAATCAGAAATACTCTTATGGCTTATAATGGCTATTGTTGTCGAAGTATATTGTAATAAAATTTTAAAAAAATCTACTAAAAAAATATATAAACTATAAAAATTAATAACTTTAATAGTTGAACACAATAGTATGCATTGTGTCGTTAAATATAAAGTATTATTATTTATTATTCATTGTTTGCCGTTAAATGTGCTTAATAATGAAGGAGACTTAAGAATAAAAAGTAGGTTGTTTTTATTTACTTTCTACAAAAAAAATCTACTAGAATATTTTGTTTTTTATTGAATTTTAATGACTGTTTAAGAATAAACAGTTTATTCTTTGTTATTAAAACAAATTCTTTAACATTTAAATAAACACATTCATTATAATATTTAACTAATGTGAGTACCTTATATTATGATTTGTATGATTATACAATTAAAAATAATTAGTTATACGTTAAAAATATATAAGATATATATGTATATATTAAAAATTTTGTTATTTTATCAGGATTTTTTTTTAGTAAATGTATTATTTTTAATTTATTTTAACAATATTTTTATCAGAACATGAGAACAGCTAAAAAAATTTGGCTATATTTTTTGGATACATTGTCTAGGTTTTTGGAAAAAAATTCTCTAATTTAAACTAACAACTATTCAAGAAGAAATAATGAAAAATAGATCACTTTTCAAGATACGCTTATCAGATTGGAAAAAAGAGCACACCCTAGGGAATGAAACGTGTCATCAATTGCTCACAACTGACACTCGTAAGGATGTTTACAGAAGTTTTGAACTAATAAAAACTTGGGATATAGAAGTAATCTTAATAAGATATATACGTGATGAGTTCATAGGGTTTCTTGACAGGATAAGATTTGTTCACCATCAAAGGATATAATAATTTAAAAAAATAAGATTGGATTTAGAGCCAAACTGTGAAATATATTTGCTGTTTATCATATGATTGCATACTATAAAGAAACGATTGAGATACGAACATAAAATTTATTTACAGGTGCTTCAATTTATAGAAATGTGTATAATAATATTTTTAACACAAATACTTCACACAGAATTAAGATTAACTAATTATTTTCAGTTAATACACAATATTTTTTTTTTTAAATAGAACACAAAAATTTACGTTAGCATTAAAAAAATTCATACAAAATATAATTATTTCTAATTTAAAATAAAATATATTTAATTTATTGATACATTACATGTACATATTTTGTAAGTTAATTTTAAAAAGAAGCAAAAAATACCAAATAAGTTATATTTTAAGTCTTTAAAGGAATATCTGTAAAAGTAAAATATAAATTGCCAATAACATTTATGTTTTATGAAAATATGACTAATTTGTCATTTTTATGAAAAACATTTTGTCAATTTTCTTTTTTAATGACATTTTTAAAACTTCTTTATTTTATTTTTAAATTGTAATAACTTAAATATAAGTAGGTATATAGATATTAAGTTAAAGTTTTTGAAGTGTACTGCTATATTAAAATTTAATTTTTTTGTTATTTTTGTGCTATGTTAAATAGAAACACAATTTCAAAGTAATAAAAATTACAATTTTTATAAAAATATATTTTTTTTTCAATTAAGCAAAAAATTTAACAAGCATTTAATTTTCAGTTAAATTTTAAAAATATAGAAATCGTAAGATAACAGATTAATATAAAATTTAACAGATTTGCATTTAAAATGTTTTTTATGATAATGATTTTAAATACTGTCAGATATTATCTATAATTGTTCCAACTATGTCGTGTCACTGGTATACTGCAACCCACTATGCTTAGTTTTTAAGATTAGGTTAAATTATAAATTTTATGGTAAGACTAGAAATATTTAAAAACTTAAACTAACGACTAAAAATGATATAATATTTATGGATATAACTTTTTGATATTTTGTAAATTAGACTGACGTAACACACAAAATTAAAGTATTCTAGTTCTTATTTATAATTATTTAGGAAAACCCTTTTAAGTAAAATTTTCTTATTAAGATAATTTTATCCTGATTTTTTAAGTTGAAAGTAAATATGAAAGAGTAATGAATATTGTAAAAAGGATACTTAAAAGTAATTGCCCCAATTTCAAAAGCCTTCAAGGGAAAAACTTTTAGGTTTAAAAAATCACTACACAGGATGAGTCTCGAAGATATGACAAATACAATTATTTTTAACATAATAAATAGTTTACTTTTAAAATTACAAAGCTCGACAAAATTTGGATCATGGAATGTTAATTAAGTTTCTTTTATGTTTTTAGTGTTTTTTTAAACACTGTTTCCGAATATTTCCTTAGTTTTTTAATGAAAAAATTATAGTATTTACTTATCCATTAAGATTTTATTAAATTTAATTTAGGGAATATAAGTGAAGCACACGGCGAAAGACTTTATCGAGATATTGAAAAAATATATCAACGAACATGGAACAAATCTATGATGGATTTCTAAGTGTAGAATTTGATTCGAAATAAAAATGTGAACACTATTCACAAAGGAAATGTGTTTAATGCACATTTTTTAAAAAATTGGTGATTATTATAATAAAAATTATTTGTGTTTTTTTATTTTATTTAATGTAACTATTGGACTACTTTTAATAATTCTTTGTTATAATTAATTAAATAGTTATAATTTTCCAAAATGATTTTACTCTATTAATTTAATGTAAAAATTACATAAGTCTGTTTTTTTTTACCATATTTTATAATGTTCAAAAAATAACAATTATTATTGTTTTTCGATTTACCCATTAGTATTTTTTACAATTATAGGGATTATATCAATTAAAAGTGAGGCAATAAATAATATTTTAGTATTTTTTGAATTCTCATAACATTTTTTAACGATTTAAAAAACGCTTAAAACTCATATTCAAAAATCCACATCAAAGGTGACACTTTATTAAATTAGTTCAAAATTAGCACAAATTATTATGACATTATAATGATAATTAAGGAATATTGTAAAATTGTTTTTTTTTTTTAGTAAAATTTTATGTAAAATTAATTTTACCACAAATTAAAATCATGAATTGTGGTTAACATATTGATAACTGAGAAAATCTAAGGGTATATTCAAAATCAGCGTCAAATAACCTAATAACAATTTTTTAAATTTTAATAAATATTACATGATCCAAATTTTATCGATCTATGTTATCAGTGCTCATTCAATATGTGATAAATTAAATGAAAAAAATGTCTATGCTTACAACTAACATTTTGTGTGAAGCATAACAACACCATTGATTTGTTTACGGTTTTTGAAATCAATTCTAAGTTTTATATGGTTTTGGTTTAATAAATTGAAAAAAAAAATATTTTAACCGATTTTAGTCCCTAGTATGAATTTGTTACATATACTTCAATTATTTACTTCGTAACTTTATTATAGTTGGATACTGTAAAATATGTATGAAAATATTCAACATTTTAAAAAATTTGAAATGATTTAGAAAATTAAATACAAAATAATAATTGATGGTTTTGCATTTTTTTTTTTTTTTGTTAATTACTCTGCAAAATGCATATCTTGCAATTTTATTAAACATTTAACTTTATTACATAAATTAAAAATATATATTATTTATTATATAAATAATTAATTTTATATTTAATATATTAAATATATAGATTAACAAGTAATCAAAAGTAACTTAAAATATTTACATGTTCAAAGGGTATTGTATTTGTCATATTTTATGACTCTCAATAGTTGAATTTAATTATGACAAAGAAAGAATTTTCTTTTCTTTAATTAAATTTATAAGCTACTAAACATATTTTTTCAACTATATATTACTTCCTCGGGCATAAATAAATTTTACTTTTTTGTAAAAACTTTAGATTAAAATAGAATAATGCTCATTAGTATTTTACTTATAATTAGTTTGAAAAAATACAAAAAGAAGTATTATATGAGATTTTTTGTATAGTTCTAAACTATCAACATATTTTAATTGAACATAAAATAATAGAAGTTATGTTTCGAATAGAAAATGCGTAGAGTAAAATTTTTGCGTGTTAACTTATTTGGCTATTTTCGCAATCATTATTAATTCATTTACAAATCAATTTTAATAGGATTAAAAGTAATCAAAATAAATCCCTAAAAATTTCAATGACAAAAATATCTTGTGTAATAAAATTATATTTTTTTCAGAATACTTTACCTTGGCTGTGTTCGATGAGTACGGTTCGTCGAACATGGACCACAGCTGGGGCTTGAACCGTTGCCACCAGGTGAGTCTACCCTGAAAGAATGCCTCTTCAAAACCAAATTTCCTAGCCATTTCCTCATCACTAGGTTTTTCCGTGTCCAAATCAAGTCGATCTAAAACCGCGAGTGTTTCTTGCGTATCCCTATGCTGTGAAAATAATATAAGTGAAATTTTAAATAACCAACTTATTACGATTCGTTAGAAAATGTAAGTCTATGTAAGAGTAACACCTGTGCTTGACACATTTTGTTATTTTCTACAACATATCATTATTGTACTTATAGTAAATTACGCCCGTGTATATACACTATATACATCAATCGTATCATATAATATGTTAGGAAATAACATCCAAATATATATACTAGTTCAAAATATTATAATAATAAAGAGTTTATAATTTATACTTCCAGCCAATAACCAAATTTGTTTTCTAGATAAATTTCAAATTATGAAAATATATAATTTGTATAATTTATTACTTAAATAATTATAAAAATACTATTATTACTAATTATAGTTTAGCATGTATCAATTTTATGATTGCATCTATATAAAACTTCATAAATAATAATAATAATTTGATGATGAGTATAAAAATATGATCAAGGGATACGCTCAGAAAATTAGTTTGAGAGTACCATAGAACAGCCATTAGAAATTCGATATGTTATGGCTTGTTTTGTTACAACTATATTTAGGTTTACCGAAAGTCCAATCAACAAACCCAAATTTTTTAATGGTCTTCTCTATAATTACCTTATTTTTTGGTTATTTAATCAACTTTTTTTTCGTTCAAGTGGTGTAAATAAAATAAACAATTTTACATTAATTTTTAATTCTAAAAATATACAACTGTGAGTACGTAAGTTGTATGGGTGACTATCCAAAGAACATTGCAAAATGATTAATACCAGAGCACATTATACAAAGCAAACACAGTGCCATAAACAATATATTATGTGTATAAACCTTTTGTTTTTATCTTAAAGTGAATATTGTTGTACACTAACAAAGTTTATAAACAATTCTGAATAATTTTTTTGTTACACTTTTTAATACTGTTACTGTAAAATAAACGCGTATAAAACTCTTTAAATTGTTTCTGAGGGTCCACCATGGTTTAATTTTTTATGTTTTAAGTAATTTATTGAGTATAAGATGTGCTTTCTAATTTTTTAATTTTTATGGGGTATTCCATTTAAGATGAGAAAGTTATTTTTCCGATAATTTATTGAAATTAAACCTGTTTATAATGAAAACAATACTTGGTTTAATATGTATATTCTAATGTAATTTCCAATTAATTTTTTCAATTGTTTTAAATTATTTTAATATTTAAAAAATATTTCGATCTAATACTGAGAAATTATTATTTACTTATATAATGAAGCAAAATTAGTGGTAATTATAGATTTCATAATAATTTAATTGACTAACATTTTGACTTATTTAATAAAAGTCAAAATTTAAACAAAAATTTTAAAAAATATTAACATTGCACATTAATTAGTTACATAATAAAAATCTATGTTCTCGTGTATACAAATTTTAGACAAATACCTAAGAGGAGAATATTCGGTTCAGTAATTAGAGTAATTACTCTATGGTTCAGTAATGTAAAATATTTTGAGTATATTGCATTCGCAATTCTTTGAAGATGATGCAAATATTTTTGTTAAAATTTCAATATACCCCGTATTTATGAAGGAATGAATGTTTAAATTAAAAATATCTAATTGGTAAATATTTTATCTCCATAAAATTGAATTGAAGAAAAAGTAAAAGAGAGGTTAATTATTAAATTTTTAATGAAATTTTAAAATGCTTCAATATAACCTCGAATAACCTGAGAGAAAATATACATTGTCATGTTTCAACACGATCAAACACAAGCACTTTGTCTAGATTTTACTTACTTTTTTACTAGGAATGGAGCGTTTAATTAATAGAAGTCTTACTAAAGTTAAATTGAATAGTACTAATGATACTTATTTTAGCTTAGATTTGAGGCTGAAAAAGTATTAATTTTTATGAGTTATTTTTGTGTATGTTTCCATTTTTTTAACATCTACTAAATAAATTTTGCTCTACCATACGTAAAATTATTCCAAATATTAATAAATATAACCTATGTCGCTAAATTTTAAAAAAATTTCCTTCAATTCCCTTAAATGAAAGAAATACCCCGATTGATAAAACTGCCAAATTTTACATTGTCTGAATTGAAAATTTCATAAAACTTTCAAAAATGAATGAATCAAATCAACATTTGTTTAGATCTACTCTAGGTAAGTTATTTTGATAAAAATGTTTTTTTGAAAAATTTTGAAGACTTAGTATCTATGTGTAGATGGTCGCCATAGTTAAAGACCATGTTAATTTTTTGATAAAATTTCCGATTTTATAATTTCAAATTTAAACGAGAAAAATGTTATAGCAATGTTGCTATAAAAATTTGTTGTGTTATTCAAATATATGAATCTATACATTATTTTATTATTGTGTACTTGACAAACTCTTTTTATTATACTTGTTTTTTTTTATAATCTGATAATTTCCCCTTATAAAAAGGGTTTAAAATATGAATGCACCTATAAAATAATATAAATTTCATCTTAACATTTGAAAATGTTCTCCATAAAAATAAAAAATTATCAAGATGTTAGTAAAAATAAACATTCTTCTACTTCATCTTCTGTAAATATTAGGTTAAGTAACAAATTTTGTTAAGTATACTTATTAGTAACGTATTAGTGCATATGTTGACTTATAGTCTCGACTTTTGTGTATTTTCATTTAGTTAAGTGTTAAAGAGCAGATAGTAGTCAATTATAATTCCGATTTTACAGCATTATTGAGTTTTAATTTATTATTTAATTATATGTTAGTTGTTTATTAGTGAAGCTTACATATTTTGTTAGTTTTAAGTGAGTTGTAGGTGTCAAAGCTGGCCAGGATGTACACAAACTTTGTGATTTACTATAGAAATTCTTATTTTTATTTATTTTTACTATTTTTTCTAACAAAGAGCATTATAAACACTTGTTGAGTCATACATTAATACATTTATCACAAAAATAGAAAGTTGAGTTTTATATTATAATTTAAAAAATCTATATATTTAAAATTAATCATAATTCATTTTAATATTAATCATAATATGAGTGTCTTCTATATTTTATTTATTGTTGTGTTCTTTGAGTCTAATAATCGTTGAGTGAACACATTTTTTTTTAGTTGAGTTTAAAGTATTTATTAGTTGGTAAATCTTATATTTTTTGTTATTTAATTAGAGAATTTATACTTTATATACATCTTACTGAATATTATTCTAGTTAAAAAAATGTATATATATAAATTATTTCTTAATTTTTATACAATATTGATTGCACCAAAGTGGCAATTTTATTTTATTTATTCTAGTGTGCCATGGTGGTTTAAAGTCAGGGAAGCATTGTTATCATTACGAACAAAAGTAATGACTTGTGCACAGTATAAGCATAATATCAGTATGTTTTTAGTATTATCACACAATAATCCTGTCACATTTTAAGCACCAACGCATGTTGGTTCAAATGGAAGAAAATAAAAGCATAGAACAGATGGATTTATTCTGTGGTATTTTGTTACATTTTGTTTGTAAAATAATTATTTTGTGTTGCGATTTGAATTGTTTAGGTATAAATTATTATTTGCAAATTACGAACTAAGTTCATCTAAGCAAAAACAAATTGTACACCAATATTTTTCAAAACGATTAAAAAAAATTAGGAAAACTTAAGTGTATATTTTGTTTACGCAATTTTACTTATAATTCACGACGAATGGTCAAGCACTTAATCACTTGTACAAAAACTAACATTTAATTTCAAAATTATGACTTGCCANCTTAAGTGTATATTTTGTTTACGCAATTTTACTTATAATTCACGACGAATGGTCAAGCACTTAATCACTTGTACAAAAACTACCATTTAATTTCAAAATTATGACTTTAAATTATTAAAAATTTATTTAAACCCCAAAAAACTACGTTATTTCAAACTAATATTTCAGATATTATGTATGAAATTGCTGAATATCGTTCAAACAGTGGGCTGTGGTCTAAGGCATTTGTTTGGAACAGTTTAAAGACTCGTAGTGATGGAACACAACTTAGTGCTATAACATGGTGCAATAGTATTTGTTCTTCAGTTAAAATTTCAATCATTACTCCCCCGCATCTGCATCGACAGAACACAGTTTATCAACGTATGGCTTTGTTCATTCATTTTAAAGGAACATATTAACAAATAAACGAGCATCCAAACTAGTATACATATTTTAAAAATTCAAAAAGATTTGAAGATTAAAATAATTAAAAATTTAAATGGTATCTGTAATGAACTCATTGATTTCAATTCTTATGATGAAAATAAAGGAGTAGTAGGTGATTTAAGTATATGTGAATCTATTTCAGATAACGAGAATAGATGAACTATTTGATAATGTTATGGCATATATAAGGATAATCTATTTTATTTACAAAAATTATTCTTCAACTATTGATAACGGTAAAATACTTAATACTTTAGAAGTCTCTTTATTGTTGATATCCGTTGATTAGATTGCTAAGTACAACACACACCGTACTATAAAAATTCGGTTGTATTTTCATGATTTTATTTTATTTTTTTATCATTTACACTTTTAATGTTATTATATTTTTATATTAAAGAATGACCACGAATAATCTTAATAGAAATGTATTATTAAAACGCATTAGTAAATGCAACTCTTATGTCTCATATACATAGTTATTTCATATTAAATACTTTGTTTTTCAATACGTTTGGCTGAATAAATTTAATGTAAATTTTTTATTCATAAGTTTCCAGTAGAATAAAGCGAAGAAAAATTTTAATACCCATGGTATTTGTTTGTATGTTTTTTATATTTTAACGGGAAGGTTCAGATAATGTGGGTTCATGGGTCGTCTCAAGGGACTATGCGACAATTTCTATTAGTTTCACTATTAACGGACCTTCTATTATGGAATCGAAAATATTGAAAATGCAGAAATACACTAAAAAACCCATTGAAGTGAAAGTAAAAAGAACATTTGACAAGGGCATTGAAAGTACAGAATAAAGACTTCAGTTTAG